AAAACATAGTTTTAAAAATAAGAGAAGCATGATAGCACTGAAATTGTGCAGGGCTCACACAGACAGAAAGCCCACTGGGTTCTGACTGGGCTTTGTTGATATTCAAAAGGGTGGACCCAGAATCAAAACCCCAGGCAACCTATATGGATCCATCAAAAGAAAGGAACGCTTGGAAGCACACTCACAGTTTATTGACTCTCTGAGTTCATCTCCCATGTCGTCATCCAAATCTAACATTTCTGCATTTTCTTTTATAAAGTTGAGTAGAACACGTGCTTTCGGGGTGTCTTGAAAAAAATATTTTTAAACACAGTGTTAATACAGGCAAGGCCATCTGAGGCCAACTAGGAGGCTGTAGCTTGAGGATTAAGGTTTCCTGCTAAGAGCCCAGAGCCAAGCCGGGTCCGTTGCAGAGAGCAAGGCTATCAGGAAGAGCAACGGAAACAGCCCTCCGAGGCAGGGAAGCAGGGCAGTTCAATGGCAGTCTCTGCCTGAAGTAGCCTTCTCAGGGCTTTGGATATAGCCATTTCCTGATCTTGCTGTCAGACATTCCTGTTTCATGAAGAAGTCTGGGGTTGCACCTTAGGCGTGCAGAGCTATTTTATTTACCAGCCATCTGTATGCCACTTTACAATCGGGAAGACTCCTACCCAAACTACATAGAGTGTACAATTCACTGCAGGGGAGAAGACAGATATGCTGAGGCAATGAATCAAGAAGAAACCAATCCTTCCAGAAAACAACCCTTTCAGCACGAGGGGCAGCAGTTTTCAAGCATGAGGGTCAGCAAAGGGAGAAAGCATGGCATTGTCTGAGAGAGCCCAATGCCTTCAGATGGTTGAATGTGGTAATGCTGGCAGTGATTGAATGATACGATGAATCTGGGGAATGAAAGAGAAGGCAAATTGAAAGCCAAAGCATTGCGCTTGTTCAGTAGGGCGGACGGTGATGTATTTAATAGATCAAGGAAAGTGAAGAAGATGAAGGTTGGAGGTGAGAAAGCTGATATTGGACCCAATATTGAGCAAGAGGGAGAAAGTGCTGGAAGAGAGAGAAATGTCATGCAGGATAAGTGCCAGACTGAATAAGTGCCTGAGAAATGTCTTTTCCAGGAGCTTAACAGATTGGGCTAAACAATTCCTTTATGACAAGCATCAGGGACAGATGGAAGTATACAGACTGGTGGGTTTTGTTTTTTGTTTGTTTGTTTTAAAGAGGACTAAGTGAGGTGGCTGCACTCACCATTTGGATTTCCTCAGAACAAAGTCATCTGGACAAATCAAGAATACAGCTGCTTCACTCACTGTCTCTTCAGATATCATGGTGCTGTCAAGCATTCTCGCCAACCACCTACACGGAGGCTGGCATCGGCAACAATGGGCAAACGGCATATGTACAAACATGCCCCGTGTTGACACCAGCCTTGACATCTGGCAGAAAGATGTTACTGAACACCTACTTGTTATGAACTGTCACCCCCTCCTCTGACCATAACAAGAATTAAATATTGACATTTGGACAAACTACTCTATAGGCAAGCAGTACCAGTCTTCAATTCCTAAGCCACCGTTTTGATCGCGTATAAAAGAAGACTATTCTAGGGAATTGTGCCATGATTTTAAAAAGGATATTAAAGCTGGCACTTACCAGGATTAGTTGTAATGATGGTTTTTGAAATTACAGTTGCCACCATGCAGTTTCGAAATTTGTCAAAGTTTATTCTTACATCTGATGCAAATATCACTGGTAAGGAAGATATGATCCCTTTGTTATTTTACACAAAGCTTTACCTTTTGCGACAGTCTCAGCAAAAGTATTCTTCAACGAAATTAAAGGTACCTGTTTCACGAGGCACCCAGCTCTGTGCAAGCTGGATGGATTCGTTATCCCAGCTAGAGAAAAAGTCAATAAAAATGTTGCTTAGTTAATTAAAATGTTTATTTTTGTATAAATATAAAAATATTCATACGCTTGCAAAGTCTGGTCAGTTACAAACACAAAACAGCCTGAAGAATATAAACTACAAGACAATAAAACCACAACATGTAGGGATTAAAGACATTTAGTGCCCTAACAAGGTTTGGAAGGTGGAAAGAATCTGGGTCTTGAGACACCGGACTAAAAGTCCTTGAGCTGGCTGTGATATGGGGCTTGGAGAGGTGGCTCTTTGGTTCGATCCAGTAGGGCTGCCCATATAAAAGTGCTACGATCTACCTATAATGCTGTTGACATCAGTATTTCTGCAAAGGTTGGTCTGTGGCTGGTGCTATACAATATGTTGCTGAGAGCAAGCAAGATCATCCATGGCCTAACTAACTAGATGGCTTCTTTATTTCCACACCGCCATGATGACCTTTCATAATTGATTTGCAGTTCTGTTTCACTCTGTTTCTCCTGAGGGAATAATTCATCAATAACTCATAGAAATAGGTAATATATTCGAGGCCACTCCACCGGACAGCTTTATATGTAATAGAGGTTAATGGATATTGCTGCTGCCATTTAATGAATGTTGCTGTATCATCAGAGAAGCCATGCTATTAATAATAGGCATCAATTAATTATAGTTGTATGTTCATTGTAGTCTTATTCACAGTCTTTTTGGTCTGGTAGTGCTGGGAGCGGCCCATCTAGAAGCCTCCTTAGAATATAGCTTACCATATCATTGCAAAGGAAGACTCCGTTTCATCAAACAGTCTTACTTCACATCTGTGGCCTTTCCGTCTGTCTGAAGTTGTGAAGTATTTTGGTTCACCAACCTTTGTGAAGTAGAAGAAAAACCCAATTTGGATCTACATTTTGTATTCCTAGCTAGCTAGTTAAACAGTAATAGCCCTTTTCTACATAGCACGTTATCATTAAAACTCTTCTTCTTCTTGGTCAATCTCCAGGCAAGAGGGAAATTGCCTGACCACAGGGAGATTTTATCCCCTGACACTGCACCCTTGCTGCCAGGGCCGTTGTGTTACACATGATGCCACGGCTCCACTCCTTACAATGGTCCATGGTCACGATGGGCTCAAGGAGATGCACTCACCTGCTCTCTCATTGGTTTCTCCTCTCTTGGCATTTTGATACACCGACACGGCATAGATGCAGAACACGTACAAACATTCTTGCATTCAGCCCATCAACCCAAACACCATCTGGGAATCGGTGGAGATGGGTTTCAAGCCTTATGCCAAGTTTGATAACAATATTATATACTTTCAGCCTCTTACCAGCAGGCTAAGGAGCTCAAATAAGCATGGGTTGTGTCTGTGAGATTCGCAGTGCCAAGAGGCACAATCAGCTGAGTTATGCTGAAAGTTACCCACAGCAGTTGCTATGACCTCAGAAATGTTCTTCTATAGCTCTTGTTAATTTCAATAGGGTCTGTTTCCTTAAGGAACGGATTGCGTAGGAACCAGAGATTAAAAAGACAGACAAGGGCATGACATGGCTACATGAGTGCTTAATCAATAACCAATTTAACATGAATACTTTCTGGTATTATTAAAAAATGTGTATATGTCAAAAGAGTTTAAATACATCTCCTCATATTCTGCCATATCATGAGGCCATCCTTGATACATGAAGGTTCTGTGGAATACTGTTCATTAAACCTTTCAGGTATGTCGCTGTTAGCCTTCCTTAGCACTCGACCAAGCCCAGTGTCTGATAACCAAGACAAAAGATCAACCCAATCTACCATACTGGGACCCAGTAAATCCTTATCTATTCAGCAACCAGGTAGATCAACAGACTATAGCAGAAGCTCGCTTCAACTTGCATAGTTTGTTCCAACTTACTGACTTAATAGCTGCAAGAACGTTAATGATTTTTCCATCCAGGCTCTGCCCATTGGCCACAATGTCCTCTAGAGAGTAAAAATCTTGAGGGTTCTTCACAGGTAGTTTCAACAGGGATAGCAGTTTGGCGTCCACTTCATTGTGGGTGCAGATTTTGACAGTGGAATGATTCTCACTGAGCAGTAGCTTGTAGCAGCTGATAATACAGATATATAACACATTGGCTATCATTATTAAAAGATTGTTTATATGTTATGAACACTCCAAATCAGTGAGTGTTACTGTTATTTGTTATGCCATTCCTGTGAAAAGTCCTCTTCAGTGCATATGATATCAATGTTTGTGGTCCATCAAACCTCAACACTGAGATTAATGACTCTTATGGCTACAAGGTTATATCACATTTAAAAATGTCAGTTGTAGTCTTTCTAAATGAGCAAAGACAGGTCAAGCCAATAGTTAGCAGAATGGCCACCAACAACTTTGCCCTGCCTCCTTGACACATGGAATATTATTGTTCTACCCAAAGCCAAATGCTCAGGAAGCAGACAATATTGTGTATTCAACATTTGCAAGTTTCTTTAGAAACTCCACTTGAGTTACCAGCAGTGATGAGCAACTGAACATGATTTAGGTTACAACCCTGTACCTAGAAGTAACTTCCAGTGAACTCAGGTGAAATTATTTCACAGTAGGTATGTAAAGAATTGTGCTGTAGGAACGGTTTGTGTGTCTGTGCAATTCTTACTGTTATTATTTTTAGATTGCACATAAATACTCAAGAAAAATTAAAAAGGAACATCAAATACATATGTACAGTAGTTTAGTTATGCATAACAAAATTCCTTCTATTGCCTTTATTAATAATAATAGAAGCAAATACAATTATTCATTTAAGCATCCTTTGTCTTGTAGTGTCTCAAACAAGGGAAACAGTTGTTCTGTATCATATTTATTTATTTATTTATTTATTCAATTTATATGCTGCCCAGACTACCCAGAGGTCTCTGGGTGGCATATAAATTGAATAAATAAATAAATAAATATGATACAGAACAACTATTTCCCTTGTTTGAGACACTACAAGACATAGAAGCATAGAAGCATTTTTAAATATGGCTAACCATATAGCTGCACCAGGAAATTGTCTCTTAGCCTAACCCACATCACATGGTTGAGGTTAGGGTAAAAAAGGTAGGGAAGGGAAACAATGTACTGTAAAGCTGTTTTGAAGCACTTGAAAGGAGCATAGGGTGTGAATAAAACAAAATGAACAATGAGCCCCCCCCCCAATAACCTATCGTGGTACGGAATCAGGAGGATACTGCAAACAGTTAAAATTTCTTTTACCTAGGAGTCGAAGGACTGAATTTCTCATCCTTCTCAACTTCCTTTGTTTGTAGTAAAGGATTTTCAATTACAACTGTCATTGAGGGAAAAAAAATAGAAAATGCATAAAACATGGATTGAGATTACAGCCTATTAAGCACAGATAATTAACAAGACCCCTTGGAACACAGTCTTTGGGGCGGGGGTGGGGGGTTGTGCCATTACATGCATGGGAAGGATGATGAGGTTCAGTTGATGCACCTTTCAATTCCATAATGGAATTCAAAGCCTACAATTCCCTTATGGAAGTTTCCAAGTTACGGCAGAACTTCATGGAGGAGTGCTAGTACAATGAGTTGACTCTATCTCAAAACCCTGATGATCATGGAATCACATGCTTGTTATGTGCTGTCAAGTTAGAACTGACTTATACAATGAGTTGACTCTAGCTCAAGACCCTGATGATCACGGAATCACATGCTTGTTATTTGCTGTCAAGTTAGAACTAACTTATAGTGACCCTAACAGGGATTTCAAGGTAAGTGAGATACTCAAGGAGCGGTTTTACTAGATCCACTCCCCTAGGGAGTTTCTGTGGCTAAGCGAGGATTCGAACTCTGGTCTCCAGAGTCTTAGTCCGTCACTCTATCCACTACACCACACTGGGTATACATGCTTGTTGAGGCTACTTGAAAGTTTAAGGCATCGGTTAACCCTGGTACATGTTCGGTCCATTGAAAGAGTGCCAGCATGAAGGTAGCATTTTGATGCCCAAGCAATTTGTCAGGAGGAACTTGCTACACTGAGGAGTAAACCACATGCAAAATGGGAACATTGTGCTTGATTATGAGCCTGTCAGCAACTCTCTTGTCTTATCACGGGTTGTACAGAGAATCAGATACACATTGGGCTTAATCCAGTCAGAGTGAAGCACATGTAAGGCCTGTTTAATGCAGCAAGGGAAGAGCTGACGACATGCTTGACGTGTGCGCGTGGATGCTTAACTCTTCTGTGGAAATGAAAGAGCTAGGCGGAAGGCTCCTATGTGGGTTTACACACAAGTCAGTCTACTGTATTCAATAGTCTTGACTAAATGTTCACAGCACTGCATCCTTAACTTTGCACAAATCATACCTTTTGTGGTAATTGTTAATACGGTGAGGTGCCATTTTTAGAAGAATGAAATATAATACAAATTCTAAAGAATCTCAGAGAGATTTTTCCCCCCTGTCTGTGCCTCCTGATGACAGTTTTACTACATCTGAAAGCTGGCTTTTAAAAGTTTGCTTCTTTCCACTCCGTTTGACTGAACATTTCGGTTCCAACTGAGCCGCCTGCAAACTCCTTGACAGAAAACACATGAAGACCACAAACACATCATATTGATTTAAAGAGGAGGAAAACAGACTGATATTGAAATATGTTCGGAATAAACTTCAGCTCACCACAATCACCAACTCTAAAGCTCTCTGAAAGAGATTTAATGTAGTCCTCTCTTCCCCAGGAATGTACGTTTATGAAGTAAGAGGGCGAATCGCGGACAGTGAAGCCAAATGTGTACCTTTCTGATCCAATATCTGTAGAGAGAGGAGGCAGTTTTAGAAAGCAATTAAAAGTTTCAATTAAGTGAGAATCTCATAATACTACATTTCCTCATTGATCCAGACTCCATGGGGTGGTCATCTGTCCCAGCCAGCCAGGGGCTGCCTGCAAGAAATGTCCCCACTCCAGTCTCAGGTGCTGTGTTCTTTCAAGTTGCCTATGTCATATTGTTAGGAAACCCGAAGACGAGAGCTGGGGGTGCCAGCAGCATCAGCAAAGAAAGAGGTCTGGGAGCTAATGATGAGCATCAAGGGGGACTCGTGGTAAAAGAGGCATAAAATGAAGTAGAGGCTTCTCATTCATGCCGCTAGAGGTCAGCAGACATTTTTTTTTTAAGGAAACGTTTGTTCCCTTTATGAATGGGATAAAAAGCGCTTCTGATTCATGCCGCTAGAGGTCAGCAGACTTTTTTTTTTTAAAGGAAACATTTGTTCCCTTTATGAATGGGATAAAAAGCAGATTCCCATTCATATGGGTGAATTCCCATTCAAATGTAGTGGAAGATTCCCTCCACTACATTTTAGAACAAGGAAGGGATAAAGACAAATAAGGGGGCCCTTCTCTCTCTCACACACACACACTGCCCTCTTTTGCCTGGGCAATTTCTAGATTACAAGTGATCCAAAGGTATCCACAAGAATATTTCCAGGGTGAATGGCTGCACAGAGCAACAGACATTCATACATAACATGTACCACTTTAAGATAGTCTGGCTGTTTGTGTCCATTTAAATAATGGATGGATGTCGGATTTGTGGGGCAAGGATCCCCTATCTCCCTCCCATCTGTGCTTATGGAGAGATCTGGATCAAGTCCAGAGAGGAGGCCTCGTCCCCAAATTTGCAGGGCGCCTCCCCTTATTTTTGGGTCCATGTCGCCTGTAGTCTAAAGACATTTCTACAGAGTTTGTGCAGATTCTCACCAAATTAAACACATTTTTTTAAAAAAAAGTCAGGAAAACCACTGACAAAGAGATAAAGCATGAAAAGCAAATTTAATGCCTTAAAAAGAACTTTACTTTTTCTGTCTGGAAAGCCTTTGGCATCTGTTTTCCCAATCACCACACCAATTATACTCTGGGAAGAAAAGAGATTGCAGAATATATTCATGAGATACAGATGTACAGGATGGATTTGATTTCACAGACTCTCTCTACTCCTTCACTAATAAAAAGCACATTTGACTGTTGCTATTTTAGTCCACATTCTACAGAAGCACTGATATATTAACAACATAAGTAGTCCACTCTCTATATTTGAAAAGATGAGGAGTGGAAAATTATGCAGAGAACCACCATCTGTTTGTTTTTATAAGGTGAAAATTTACCTGAAAATGTAACTAGTTCCCCCTCCCCAAACCGCTACTTCCAATGGAAGCAAATGCACAATGGGAAACGAGATAAGAACATGACAGGCTAGTTAAGGAACAGAATCCTGACCCATTTATACAGGACCTCTGTGATTTTTTTTTCTGACTTTCCTGGTGGTAAGTACAGGTGGGCAGTTATGTTTCTCTTCCCTTTCTTTTCTTTGCAAATAACACACATTTCTATTACACCCCCACGGACTCTCAAGTGTAGACTACAGGCAGACTCAATAACAGAGACAAATGTGCTATTTCTAGGAGCTGACCGATCTCTGGGGGAAAAAAGCCGTTTCTAACAACATTTTTAAAGTGCGGTCAGGGAGGAATTATCCGTATAACTCTCTGGCAGCTAAGGACATCATTATCTGAAAAGCTATCATCAGAAAGTGTGACATCCTTTGCAAGCAAGAAACAGCCATTTATACATGATTTTTCCCCCCTTTTCCAATATTGCAGATAAGAAAGGGACAGGAAGAACTCTTCCCACATTCATTTCTGAGTTCCAAGTAGGAAGAGAATGGCAATTATTCAATTTTTTTTTGCCCAGCAAGCAAGAGAACACATTATAGCAAACATCCGCAGATGTAACAACCATGTTATCTACAAAGGAAGGTTCAATAACCGAAATCTCATTTTCCTGTCTAAACTCAGACCCAGCACAATGAACAATACACCTGTTGAAAGGTAGGGTTCTGGATTTCTGTGTTCTTTCAGCCACCAGGTGGGGCAAGAGACTTGTTTCTGTGTTTATCTGAGCAGGTTTCATTACATTTATGAGTGTAAAGAAATATAATTTCCTCGAGTCTCCAAAATGCTTGCAGTCTTAACATGTACTGCATTAATCTGCATTCAAAATGTTTGGTTTCCTAACTCGTAGTAATCTAATTACATGGAAACATATCCTGTGTATAACTCTGCTGATAATACAGAGCTGGTTCCTGGAATATGAAATGTCATTTTATGCCTTAAGACTCTACTTACAACGGTATTTATTTCAAAGTCTTCCTAAGCTTTATCTTTACAAAATTATTTAATTTAGTTTCTTTTAACAAAGTGAAATTCCATAAATCCAAATTAAAAGCATGAGATCTATCCCTAAACATCCTGTAAATATTCTTAATTTGAAGGGAATTATTCCCAAATGTGTACATTTAAGATTTTAGCCTAACCACTGTTCAGCTAACCAAAGGCGAAAACAGAAACCTCTGTGTCCAGTCGCCAGTACTTTCAGCTGACATTTCCCAAACTTTTGTTATTTTTCTTTTGAAGAGCTTACTTTCATAGTTTTAGCATTCACATTATTTAACACAGTGACATAGTGATTCCACTATATATTATTTCTTTGTGGTAATCCTGTAGAATTTAGTTTATTAGAAATAATTGTTCTCTTTAAAGTTATATATAGGAACACACAATTATCTGCTACTAGCTTCCTTTGAGATGAATGCCTGCCGTTAAATAAACCATATTTCTTTCCAAATTGAAAGCAAGATTTGTTTACTAAGTTAAACTACAATAAACTAAGTTCCAGCTCAGTCAATTTTCTAATGCTTAATCTTCTCTCAGTGATGTAAAGTAAATAAAACCTTCTGGCCAAGTACATCCGTCCCACAAGAGAAACGCTGGAAAGTTGCATGTGCTTTCAATTCTCTGCCAAGGAAACATCCCTTGAAGAAATCTATGGCTTTGTAATTGATCTTTTAACTTTGATAGGGGAAAATTGCAACTCTTACTCTACGTTAAATCAACAAAGAGTTCACGACGTGGTAGAGTGCACCCCAGTGCTCGGAAACTTTCTGTTTTATGGGCTTCAGCGGTTAGAATCCAGAAGCCATCAAGACCATTCTAGAATTCCTAGGCCAGCATGGCTCCTAGCTAGCCAGAAGGTTCTGCAGTCCCCCCCCCCCAAAAAAGGAACATTTTCAGATCGTGATCTACCCCACTTTTGCTGAGGTTAACAGTGAAAATGCTGGGCACTGGAGATGCAACCTTAATATTTGCTTGCCCCTGTCTTTACTATTCACATATATCATATTTGAATGTCAGACCCTCAACTGTGGCTTCTTAGGGTACAAACCTGCACATGTTCACCTGCATGTAAACCATGGTGAATATAGCAAGACGTACATTTCAGGAAACATGCTTAGGCTTGCTAATAAAACAGGGGCCATGGTGCTGTTTCTCTGGTGTGCTAACAGCCATGCCATAGTGAAAGGTTCTGAAGGAAGGGATAAACTAGGAATAGTTTAGATTAAGGCAAGGCTCTTAGCAGTCCTCAGCCTGCACATATGTATCATAAGGAATTTTGCAGCACATTAACTATGCAAGTAAAAAGACAGAGAGACTGCCACGTCTACAGCTGCTGTAGCTGTTGTGTTATAACCCCTGTTTTTGTTGCAATAGCTAAGGTGGCAGGCTAAGTCAGATGGGTGGTCTCTTATGGCCAGCCCAATCAGTTTCAATAAGGTGCTTAGTGGTATTTTAGTATGTGTATAATGGCATATAGGATGCTAACAGGAACAGGTTGATCCCAATGAATTTTCAGTGATAGTTATGGAGATGTTATAAGAAAAAACTTCCTCAGGCTTGTCTGAGAGATTCCCGTGGGTGGTTGTAGGTGCAGTGAATGGTCACCAGGGTGTAGTGTGGCCTCCTTTACAAAAGGCTACCAGGGAACAGTCCTCTATTTGAAGGTGTGCATTATTTCAAGGGTTATATGGTCCAAGTCTGATTTAAAGCTAAAGAACCACATCCTCAGGCTTGTCTGAGAGATTCCCATGGGTGGTTGTAGGTGCAGTGAATGGTCACTAGGGTATAGTGTGGCCTCCTTTACAAAAGGCTGCCAGGGAACAGTCCTCTATTTGAAGGTGTGCATTATTTCAAGGGTTATTTGGTCCAAGTCTGATTTAAAGATAAAGAACCATAAAGAGGGAGCTGATCTATAGCGATCACCTGGATAGCAAATGCAGGAGGCACACGGGTCACTTACTTACAGTCTTCCCTGTTCCAAGTAAAATATATTATAACGCTATTCAAATCATTAAAATTACATTTGATCTTGTAACTGCACTTATAAAGTAGCATAAGCAATTTTATCCCAGCTGGTATCCAGCTATGTTTGGATATTCTCTCTTGCAATATATAGGTTTTCTGCAGACAACTCTCTAATTCACCTTTCAGCATCTCAGCCATTTAATAGCTGCAAAAGAACTATCAACAATGGAGTTTTTTTCCCTTAATTATCATTTTTTAAATGATCAAGGAAGCTGGGCATGAATGGGATTACCCATGTGAGCAAAGCTTGCAGCTTCCAATCTGGTGTCCATAGTCCCAAAGAATACATCTCCAATGTACTGTGATTGTATAATGCAGACTCTGTAGAAATTATCAACTCAACATCTATTTAAAGAAAATACAAAGGGGTCTCTGATACTTCAGACAATGAACTGTCCAGCTGACATTGATGGTTGTGCTATCCACACTTTGTGGTCAACAGAAGCATCAGTTTTCACTTTCTGAGAGGGTACAAAGAGAAGATAACGTAGTTTGTACCTAATAATTATGCCAATGCTGTGAGTATATAAAGGCAAAGCAATTACATAATTTTGCGGTAATATAATACAGTTATATACAGTTTCACTGGGAACAAAAAGTATTTATGTCACCAAGACCTACAGGACGAGCCAGGTTTGGGTGTAGATCCGAAATGGCGACAAAATTTTGTGCTGAAATGGAATATGCCATTCTTTTTACCTGAAATACAAGAAAAGTCTATTAGGGTTTCTTTTTGGGGGAGGAGGAAGAAATCAAAATAAGTCATTTATGTTATTCCACACAGATTTTTTTTTAAAAAAAAACAATTCCCCCTAACAAAGCTATGTTGATATACAACGTCTGTTTTCTAGGGAAAACATAGCTCGTACAAAGGCTTTGGGTTTGCTGAAATAATTCTTGATTTCTTTTCTGTATCAGATTATTAAAAAAAACTACACTATGCTATCAAAGCAATAGTAGCTAAAATCCAGTAGCAAGTAAGCAACTAGAGTAGGTCCTCTCAATCAATACTTATGGAGAAGGTGACTCACCAAATCCCTTTGATTCAATGGGCCTACTCTAGTTGTGACTTATTATTTGGTTTCAAGCCATGCTTACATAAAGTGTTTACCAACTGCTGGCTTTTGAACAGGGATATTGGCAAGTCTTGGTTCCAAATCCCAAGTCGGAGCCCAAGTCTTTGGTTTTGTTGTTTAGTCGTTAAGTTGTGTCCGACTCTTCGTGAACCCATGGACCAGAGCATGCCAGTCTTTGGCACCAAATCCCAAATCCTAAGTCTGAGTCACTTTTTAAAAAAACAAGGTTTATTTTGCAGGACAAAAAAGGGAGGGATGGGTGTGTTCTGATTGGCAAGTCAAGTCCAAGTCATGGGGGGGGGGAGCCCAAGTTGAGTTGAGTCACTGGTGCAACTTAAGTCTGACTTGACAACAAGTCCTGTGACTCAAGTCCCCAACTCTGCTTTTGAATCTATGCGAGCATTTTCACACCTCAAGATATTAGCACGTTATTGCTTATGTTGAGTTCTAGGACCAATTTTGTGATGTGTGAAAATAATAAATCGTAAATGTAGGAAACTACAGTTATAAGCTAAATGCTACATGTCCCCTTTGAAGTTCTTTAAAATTTATGTTCTTTCATGGATATCATTTCATGAAGGAAATGTGTTGCTTCATGACTGAACTGATTTATAAAGCCTACCAGTCTTTGAAATGCCCCCCGTTTCTAGGATTGTACGAAAACAACCAGGCAGTGTCATAGACGGAGCATTCTCAAAACCAGAGACCTGAAATTGGAGAAGACAGGGTTCAAAGCCCCAGTCGAAGGTGAAATGGTTCATTCACAGCCCCTTAGCAAGCTTCCATTACCTCTCACCACAAAGATAAAATGGTATGACCCAGTGTAACATAGACTTGAACTCCCCTGAGGAAGGTTGAGGGGAAAAAATGATGCAAATCATAAAACATAAGAAACTCCTGAGCTTTTTCAAACAAAAATTCTGTTTCAATAAAAACTGACATTAGCAAGAAGCCATGCCCAGACTCCAAATGACTTTATGACAGGAAGCGTAAGAAAAATACTGAAGCCCTCCACCCAAAGCCCACATTTAAAATAAAACTTGAGAGCAGGAAAAGAAGGAACAACATTGATTTGAGGGAAAGGGGGGGATTGTAAGATTTCACTTTCTATGTTAACACTCTGTATTGCTAATTCAGATATCAGGCAGGCATTTTTAGGGGAGGAAATTTGACTGTTCTTTCCCTTTTTCCTAGCAGAACCTATACCGCTTATAAAATCGTTAAGGTTTAATTCTAGTGGCATCTGCTATCTCTAAAAAAAAGATAAAGAGGATTAAGGAAGAGCAGCAGGAACCTTTTAAAAAATGAATGGCAGAAATCAGTACATTTTAAAGAAAGGAGTTTTGGAAGTTAACCAATGTTGGTTTCTTTGAAAGAAAGAAAGAAAGAAAGAAAGAAAGAAAGAAAGAAAGAAAGAAAGAAAGAAAGAAAGAAAGAAAGAAAGAAAGAAAGAAAGAAAGAAGAAAGAAAGAAAGAAAGAAAGAAAGAAAGAAAGAAAGAAAGGGGGAATTTGCCCCAAGTTTGCAGCAGCAGGAAACCAAAATGTGTTGCGGTTCCTTGGAGACCTTCTGGTATATTTTAGAACATTCATTCTAAAAACCAGATTGTAAAATAAAACTGTCTTTAATATGGGGGTGCACAGAATGTGAAGCCTCACATGCATTGACATAAAGAAGGAGTCAACAATTATCACACTGTGTGCCCAAAATGCTTTTTATAAATTACTACTCCTAAAACCTGCTTTGCTTGTACTCTACTTCTGCTCAATCAAAGATATAATATTTTTTATCAGATTCCTATTTTTTCTTGTTTTTACTCTTCCTTGACCAGACCATTCAGTATATCTTAGAAATCTTCCATGTCAAAAAAATGAATGAATGAATGAATTAATACTGTACATACATACATACATACATACATACATACATACATACATACATACATACATACATACATACATACATACATACATACATACATACATACATACATACATACATACATACATAGAGGAAAGGAAAGAGAAAAAATGAATAAAGAACTGTTTGTCAATTTTTAATACATAGGGATAATAAACAAAATAGATTTTGAGTACTTTGCAACATGTGATTTGAGCAAAAATATGTGGAATACATAGCCTAGTCTTATCTGTGCCAAGCATTCACACCTGAAAGCCTTTCTTTTTAAAATACATATTGTATCCCAGTATTTTCTAGTTCAGGCATGCTACCTTCATCTTTAAAATTCTAACTTGGAAAACAAAAAGGAAACTTCCAGCTGTCTAGGATAGCAAGATCCTGCCCAATTATGTCTCCTAGGCATCTATCAATTCTTCCCTCAAATGCAGTGTTAAATAATTCATTGCCCATTGAAAATGGATTAGCGGTTGTTTTTCTTTTTTCTTTTTTTTTAAAAAAAACCCTGAATCAGAGTATCACAAAGAAGCACTGAAAAGACAACTGAAATTTTAAAAATATTTAAAGTGTTACTGGTTGCTGCTTTTCAGCTGTAGTATTAAATAGTGAGGGATCATTAAAAGGGACCAAGATGTCTTCCAGCTCCATCCTTTTTTGGGGGGGGGGGTACATATAATGTAATTTGAAAGTTTTTGAGAGTAGTTGAAGAGTATTTTTGCGACAATAAACCAAGGATCGGCACCAAAACCCAGAGGACTTTGCAACAGATTTTAATGGAAGTTCTGTATTTTCCTCCAGCCCTAGTATTATGGAATGGCAAAGGTACTTTTTTATGTTAGGCAAGTTCAGTAGCTATCAAACGCTACATTTACCAGTATATCATAAAGGAAGGTGTGACAATTAAATCGGTTTAAATTGATGATGAAGAGACAGTCCTATCCTGCCAGCCTGCAGCAGTTTAATACTTCCCTGCAAGAACCCTGAAAATTAAAAGTAGGTTAAGAATTCCTACATAATTGCAACTCTACATCTATATCCTCCATTCCTGTAGTTGTTTTCACCGAAAACAGAAAGACTGAGAAATCAGTTATGAATGGTCTGCCTTTCAATCATTTTAGCCTTGAAACATTGAGCAAAATGGGTGGGCAGGAGAGGAGTCTTGTGACACCCTTAAAACTACTACATTTACTTTAGCGTGTACTTTTTTGAGTTTC